GACACTCTGCAACGAATCCGGCAAAACGTCATTCTTGAAGCTCTGTGTTAGTGAGATGCTTTTCAAATTAAGTTCTTTATTTTTAGGGTTTACTTCCCAATCGTTTTCTCGGAATTTTCACCCGAATCTTTGGTCGGAGAATGATAAGTTGCTCGCTGATGCTTTCCATTATGGTCGCCGCCGGGGATATTTCCGTCACTTTGGATTTGGACTTGCCGCTCTTTACAAGGCTGATTTGGATCGAGCTGGTGGATTCAACACTGGAATTGACGGGTGTGTCAATAGTTTTTTTACTTATTTATTACAATTTTAGTTGGGGCTTGGAAGATGTGGATTTCTTCGAAAGGAACCTGCGTACTCAAAAATCTTCGCATCATTCGAGCGCCCGAGCCTGGACTTGCCAGTTCCCTTTACCACTAAATATAGAGCCAACAGGATTTGAATGAATCCGATACAAAGTTAGGCGCATTCACATCTACCATCCTATCGTGTGTGACCCATCTCTGCCCCGCGCCACAGAAGAACATGTGTCTTGGGAGTAAGGCAGCCTCGCTCTCCTAGGTCGACGGCTCGTCAATCAGATCACCGCTGTGTTCAATGCGTGAAAGATCCAATGGTGGCTTTTCAAATTCATACGTGCCATATCTCATTTTGTGTCTATTCAATTAGAATATTTACATTGCTTTACCGATTTTGCCTTTTTCCCTTTTACGTTGTGACAACTTGCCAATGTTTTTGCTCACTTGCCTAAATATCATCAAGGAATAACCGGGTCAAACAACACAATAGATCCTTACCCAAGCAGCAATAAAGTAGAGGAACCTTTCAAGCATAATTTATCTTGCATTTAGATTTAGAAGAGATACACATATGAAGGAAAGTCTAGTCATTGATCTGCTCTTTGTTCAAATTTCCTGCCATATGCTTTCTCTCTTTCGACTTTGTCCTTCACACAGTTTTCCCACTTTGTGCTATTTATTGCTTTAAGCCCAGTCAAGTTGTGAGTTCTTTCTCATTCCACTTGTTTGTGCATGCTCATCTCCGGAGTGCTCTCCATTTTGTCCAGTAACTTTCTTTTGTATTTGATTTTGTCTAGTTTAATAAGTTCATGATAATAAACGAGTTCTTCTTTAAGGAATGAATAACGGTAACGAGTGAGTTTACTGCAGAAAGTACCCTGATAGGCCTAGTTTACGATTTGAATCTCAGAAGTGACAAGCTTCACTCTAAATCCCTTCGGGGGTGAAACTTCTCGATGAAGTCAAACAGTACTAAAAGAGTATGGTGGCGAATTTCAGAGTTTTAGCTTTTAGATTACTGTAAGCTCATAGGGCTACTGTAGATAAGAGAAGATCCTCTCATTGGGTTGAGCTGTACTTGATGAAGTTTATCAGGTGCAGGGGCGTAGCCAGGATCTCGGAACTTGGCGTCTGACGGTCCGAGCTCCTCGAGGCTAGCCCAAACAATTTCCGATCAAGAAATTATATTTTTAAAGATTTCCAGGCTACAAAACTGTCCAAAGAGTTTTTGGAAAAATTCAAAGGGCTCGTGATTTTTGCATTTTAGTGTAAAAATGTCGATAAAACGAGTTTTTAGGAGGCATGAAGAATTGTTTTTACAAAACTAACGTTATGATTTTCAGAAAGTAGAAGAAATTTGACTAGGGCCGACCAATAGGAAAAACGGTTGGCCATCTAGTTTTTGAGAATTTTGCGATCAAAAATTGAAAAACACAAAAAAAGTGAAAATGGCTAACTTCAAACGCGAAAATCTCGAGCCCTTTGAGTTTTTTCAAAAAAGTGTTTAGACAGTTTTGTAACCTGAAATATTTAAAAAATATAATTTCTTGATCGGAAATTGATTGGGGTTAGCCTCGAGGAGCTCGGATCGTTAGACTGAAAGTCGCGAAATCTTGGCTACGCCCCTCATCAAGTGAATGTTATTGCCCGGAATACGGTCGCTTTTCCGCAAGCTCATCTTTTATAAATAAAATAATGATTTGATCTGTCTTCGCACTTAGCGCAGATCACAACCCGCTTCCACATTTACTGAGGCAGAAGTGTAGTTGTGGTAGCCGATGATACTCCGATGGCCGGGCTGGGGCGCTCGGAGGGGAGCCCATGGGAGTCGAACCCACGACTAACCCGCGCCGACGTTGCTCAACTTGGCAGATCGGACGGGGTCGACCACAGACCCTTCCCTTTCTGGGCCCCCGCTCATCTTTTAGGCAACGCAAAACGCGACTACGGTAGCTAGAGTGCGCGAAAAATCAAAGCTAATAAGGATTACGGTAGCTTTTGCATACTTTAGACCACAGTGTGCTAGAAAGAGTGCGTTTGTGAAAACGAAAAGTAGTCAAGTATTTCTTGAGCTTTGAACAACCTCTCAAGCATGCATTTTGTTTTTTGTCTTTTTTTTTTGCAACCAAAAAGACAAAATGAATGAGCTGTCAGAGGGGAAATCGACTTTTTCTCATTTTCTTTTCTTTTTTTTTTGTTCTCACCCCGAAAAGCTTCCTCCTATTAGTTGTGTTTTATTTTTTGGGAGAGAGAGAGAGAGAGAGAGAGAGAGAGAGGGATAGAAAGGGATCAAATTGTTTGACTTGGGACTCAAAACTCGGATCTCTCGTATTGCATGGATGAAAAAAAAATAATATTTTTTCATTTTTAATCCATAATCCAGAAACACACCATTGCTGGCAAATCGCTTTCTGGCAGAGATTCATTTCTGTTAAAGTTTTTGATTTCATCTCAAGTTCAAGTAGTCTTTCTCATTTTGATTTTTGAAAACTTTCGACTTTCGACAAAACGACATTTCCCCCCCTCAGTCAACGAGAGATCGAATGTCAACTTTGAGCTCTTTTCGCTTTCGTGTTTTTCAGTCGTTTTATTTTTCTCCTTCCAGGAAAGATCAGTGAAATGTCAAGGAAATGACTCTCATGAATCTTTCAGTTATCTTATAATTGCAGAATTTCAGCTTTCAGCTTTAGCTACCCATCAAAATTCCCATTTCTAAGGCTCATTTGGGCATTTTTATGTGTTTTGCTGTGATTTTTCGGCTTTCCCTTTCATTTTGAGGGCATTTTTAATCGATTGACTTGGGTTTTCACTTCAAAAGTGAGTTTTTTCAAATCGGATCTAAGACTTGTAACCCAAGGCAGTGTTAGGGTCAGATCTAGGTCCAGATCCAGATCCAGGTCCGGCTCCAGATCTAGATCCAGGTCCAGATCCAGCTCCAGGTCCAGCTCCAGGTCCACCCCCAGGCCCAGCTCCAGGTGCAGCTCCAGGCCCAGCTCCAGCTCCAGCTCCAGCTCCAGGACCAGTTCCAGGCCCAGGTCTAGGCCAGATCCCGACTTGCGGCCTCTAACCTAATAGGAAGCTAAGCCAGTCCAGACTCAGGGTTAGCTTCTGACAGGTTCACTACTTTATGCGCTAGGCTCAAGTCTGATACCTTGCCTGGTCCGGATTCGAAATGGGAATATTCCAACCCAAGCCCACATTCGTTTTCTTAACGGATTCCTCTGAAATTTTGTCTACACATCGAAATCGACATTTTCGACTTGTAGACAAAATTCCAGAGAAATCCGCCAAGAAACGGCCGGAGAAAACGAGCGTGGAATTGGGTTCGGATTGGCATTTCCCCCAGTTGTCTAGTCCGGATCGATCGCCTTTTTGAACGTCTAGAAGTTTCAATCCAAAATTGGAGTTCAAATTGAAAACGAACTCGAAATTTTGTTTCAACTTTTGCACGGCCAGCACGGCCAGCACTTGCAGGATATTTTCAGGAATATCCAAATTCCCTGTCGACTCTAAAAACTCTCAAAAACCCGAATCTAAAAGCTGATTAATCGAAAGCTCATCGCTAATTCCATTCATTTGAGAAAAGATCGCTCTAATGGGTTTATTTTTAGAAATAAAAAGAAACGACTAACCTTTTCTGCCTTTCTGCCTCAAAAAACACCCATATTTCTTTCAGCTTTTAACTTTTTTCCTCTTTTCCTCTTTTCTATGAAAAGTTTGCATCGAAATGAATGGGTGGTCGCTAGAAAAGGTCCAGAATCTTTCTTCGTTCTTTTAGTTCTTTTTAAAGAAACCCCCCTCCCCCTCCCCCACCCAAGAAAGAGTGAAAGATGAAAGGAAAATGCAAAATTGAGGCAAACCCTTTTTGAAATGTTTATCGAAATAACTCTTTCAAATATCTTTTTCGAATTTTAGCTCATTTCTTCATCTTTTCATTTGAAAATTCTTTCGAAAATCTCAAAAATTTCGAAAATTTTAGAATTTTTTAAAAAATTTACTTCAAATCGATCCCAAAATAACTTCAAATTTGGGTAATTAAAGAAGAAATGAGCTAAAATTAGAAGAAGATATCGAAAAGTTATTTAAGGCGCTTTTTGCTGTGAAATCGGTAAAAAATTTTTTTTTCTCAAATCTGTTTGCATTCTCTTTAAATCGCTATAAAATCGTCAATTTTCAACCAAACAAGCTAATTCTTTTTTCAATAGATTCTCCATGAAAAATCCTATAAAATAGATATTGGGTTTATCAGGGAAAAATCGAGTTTAAAGGGGTAAAATCGGGGTTGAAGTTGGTGGGACACTTTGTGCGTTCTCTGTGCGTTCTCTTCATGTAGCTCGTAAGAAAAAACGGCGTCTGGCACACGGCCCCGGTAGAAGCAACCAAAAAGCCCCCCCGCGCCTCGGTTTAATTACCCAAGTCTACGTACTCTTCATGTAGCTCGTAAGAAAAAACGGTGTCTGGCACACGGACCTAAGCAAAGACCAACAGGAAGTCGGCCCAGCCGGTTTAATTACCCAAGGGTGCGTACCCCTGTTGTCACTCGTAGGGAAGAACGGCATCTGGCACACGGCCTCCCGGTAAGGACGTCGGGGAGCCGCCTCCCGCAGGTTTAATTACCCAAGTGAGCGTACCCTTAGCGTCACTGGTAAGGAAAGACGGCGTCTGGCACGTGGCTTTGAACAAAGGCCTTCCGAAGGTGCCCTCAGCCGGTTTAACAAACGAGTGTGCGTACCCTTGACGTCACTTTTAAGAAAAAACGGCATCTGGCACACGGACCTAGGTAAAGACCGTCAGAAAGCCCTCCCCAGCCGGTTTAATTACCCAAGTTTAACGATTTTTCGATATCTTTTAAAATTTTCATTTTGTATTTCGTTTTGTTTTTCATTTTTTCATTTTTCATTCATTTTTCATTCATTTTTCATTCATTTTCTTTCTTGCTGATTCACTGTAAATCCCAGAAAACAAACGAGCGCTTAATCTGTCTAACATGAAACGGAAATTTGATCGTCGAATAAAAGGGTTTTACCGTATAAAAAAAAAAAGCTACTAAATATTTTGTATTTTGAACATTTTGAAATCGAATTTAAAAAAGGGAATTTCGATGAAAATGTGGTTTTTTCGACCCAAAGTCAATCTAATTTATGCCAAAACGCGTCAAAATGTCCCCCCCCCTTTTCACCAGAGAAAACTCAAATCTTTCTTTCTTTTTTTGAGCAACAACTTTTTATTGAACTTTATTGAGGCTCTTGTCGATGCTAAAGGGTTTACTGTAGCTACTGCATCTGCTATAGGATTACTGTAGCTGATCCAGGGATTATTGTAGCACTTAGAGAATCTGCGAGACAAAAAACGCATTATTATTAGCATTTTCTTCTTTTTGTCTTCTTTTCCCTTGTCTTTTACTTTTTCTATTGACGAGTAAATGGCCCGGATAGCTCAGTGGTTAGAGGTTAAAGCCCGGTAAGCGGAAGATCGAGGGTTCAATCCCGGGTCAAGAATTTTCCTTTTTCTCCTCAATTTCTTCACTTCTTTACAAGTGTATAGTGTTTTTAACTGATATGGGAATGGTCTGAGCTTAAAGTTTGAGCTTGAAACAGTGCAGAACGTAGAGTCAGCAATGAAGAACAATAAATTAGCCGCTAATAGCCACGGGATTCAAAAAGGCTTTATAAGGCTTCTCACACTGCCGGCTAGAGAATAAGCTTTGTTGGCTAGTGGATAAAGGGCTAGACTGTGAAATGGCTTTAGCAGACTAGAGCTTTAGCTTTATCCACTAGCCAACAAGCCACTAGCCAGCTTATTCTCTAGCCTCAAGGCCTCAAGGGCTCGATGCATCGTTCTCATGGCTCGTTCGGTGGTCTGTGTCGTGGTCCAGGTCCAGCCCTCTGGCCCGTAGCAGAGTGCCGAGAGGTGTGCCCGAGTCCTCTGATGATTCTTGAGTCTCTTCGTGACTTCTTTGATGCTTCCTATTGCTGTCCAGGCCACTCGTCTTCTACTGGGACTTCTGGTCTTGATGTTGATGTTGTTGTCTCCATGTTCATTCTTTTTCTCTTCATTTATCATTTAAAAAGCTTCACCCTTTTACGATTTCAATTACAATTTGATTTTCTTCTATTTTCCCTATTGCTTTTTCTATTTTTAATTATAGAGGAGGCTTTCTTTTCTTTCTTTTTCTTTTTCTAAAAAATTTTTTTTTCTTAAAAGGATTTGCTTTCGGTCAAATAAGAGTAACAATTAAGGGTTTTCAAAAGAAATTAAATAAATTTAAGCTTTCAAGCCCAAAAAGCCATTGTAAGCCATATTTTAAGCTATTTTAAGCCATTCTGAGCCATTCTGAGCCATTCTAAGCCATTCTGAGCCAGTCTGAGCCATTCTGAGCCAGTCTGAGCCAGTCTAAGCCATTCTGAGCCAGTCTAAGCCATTCTAAGCCATTCTGAGCCAGTCTAAGCCATTGTAAGCCATTGCAAGCCATTACAAGCCATTTTAAGCCATTGCAAGCCATTACAAGCCATTGTAAGCTATTCTAAGCCATTTTAAACCATTTTAAACCATTTTAAGCTAATTTTGAGCGAATTCAAGCCAATTTGACGTCAATTTAAGCCATTTTAAAGCGATTTTAAGCCATTCGAAGCTAATTTTGATCAATCTAAGCGAATTTCAGCGAATTTTAGCCCAATTACTAATCCAAAATTCGCTGCCGCCTTTCCCCCCTTTTAACGCTTCACTGAATTCCCCCTTTTGGCAATTTTCAATTGCCTTTTTTTGCCAATTTTCAATTTGATTCCCAAAAAATTCATGAAATTTTCCTCAAACTTTAATCCTTTTTTAAAGCTTTTGATTTCCACGAGAATCTTTTCCTTGCTCTTCCTCTTTCTCTTTCTCTTTCTCTTCCCATTCCTCTTCCAACTTCTCTTCCAATCCAACCCATTTCCAGACAATGAACAGCGATCGTCGTCCGCTATTGTTGTCGCCGAAAGAGGAGAATCACGAAAACAACGGTGAGTTGCATCGGATTAGAGAAAAACTTCGAAGCGCACCCTTTCTGGCACACTAGATTCTTGATTCTTCATTCAATTCCATTCAATTGAACTCTTTAATCAATTCTTTATCTTTCTTTAGCGCTATTTTCTTGATTTTTCAGTGTTTGAATCTTTAAATCGCTATAAAATCGTCAATTTTCAACCAAACAAGCTAATTCTTTTTGCAATAGATTCTCCATGAAAAATCCTATAAAATAAATATTAGGTTTATCAGGGAAAAATTGAGTTTAGTGGGGTAAAATCGGGGTTGAAGTTGGTGGGAGAGTTGTGCGTTCTCTGTGTGTTCTCTTCATGTAGCTGAAAATATTCAAAAGGAAAGAAGGAAGAAGGGAAAAGAAAGAAGAAAGAAGGAAAAAGGAAGAAGGAAGAAGAAAGAAGGAAGAAGGAAAAAGAAAGAAGAAAGAAGGAAGAAGGAAGAAGGAAAGAAAAAGACAAGAAAAAAGAAAATAATAAAATTATTCAATTTTTCGCATCTGGGATACGGTAGGTCAAAAAAGACAAAAGACAGACAAAAAGACAGACAGTCGGGGTACGGTAGTTTTTCTCTTTTTCTTTTTTCACAATTTATTTTTTCTTCGTCAATTGCGATATTTTTTATTTTTTAATCGTATTTTTGATTTAACCTTATTTTTTATTTAATCGAGGGCGGAATTCGACTTTTTTTGCGCACCTGAACATTTGCGCGCCTTTTTTTCTCCGAAAATGGCTTTTGAAAGGCCGTAGAGCTTCAAAAATGTTTTCATATAAGGGATTTCATGGCCGTATCCTTGTCGTATACCGTATTCTTGAATAGTAGTGCACCCAAAGCTTTGCCTAAATTGCTTGAAATCTCGAAAAGCGCTAGAACTTGGGGGTGGGACGAATTCGACTTTTTTTGCGCACCTGAACATTTGCGCGCCTTTTTTACTCCGAAAATGGCTTTTGAAAGGCCGTAGAGCTTCAAAAATGTTTTCATATAAGGGAATCGTATGCGTAGATCCCGAATTTCGACAAATCAGACCTCGCTGACACGTCAAATTTGGGCTAAAAGACAAAAACTGCGGAAAAGCGTTAAGTTGCGTAGTTTTTGTCTTTTAGCCCAAATTTGACGTGTCAGCGAGGTCTGATTTGTCGAAATTCGGAATCTACGCAAACGATTCCCTTATATGAAAACATTTTTGAAGCTCTACGACCTTTCCTAAGACCTTTTTTAGCAAAAAAAAGGTCGCATTTGTCCCACCCCCTTAAAACACTTTAAACGTTAAACTTTAACTTTAAAACAAACTTTAAAACATTATATCGAACATTAAAACACTTTAAACCACTTTAAAACACTTAAAACAGACACTTGTTTAAAAAAAACTGAAGACTTTAAAACACTAGACACTTTAAAACACTTTAAAACTTTAAAACAACATCTAAAAAAAAGTACTTTACTAATATCAATATCAACCATCACTTTTTAAATCTTTCCTTTCAAGAGCCAAACCCTTGAATCCATGTCCAAAGATCTTTGCTTAATCAAATCGAAAACTCTTCCTTCACTAAGAAATAATCAAATCCCCGCAACTTCTCGAGACTAAAAGCTGAGCTTAAATGCATTCTGTTAGTCATTTTTTTTAGTCAATCCTTAACACAAAACTGAAGCTCTTCCAATTTTCTTGCGGGAAATTCGGCTTAAGTGCGTTGGTCGAGAAATTTTCTTTCATTTTCCCATATGTTTCTCATTTTCACGACTTTATGCCCCACTTTTTTCAGTTTTCTTTCAGTTTTTCCCGTCTCACAAAGATTCTCTGCTCAATTTTGCTCATTTTATTGTTTATTATTCGACTATTAGTGGGTACTGTAGTCGGTAAAGTTACCGTAATCCCTGACATAACCAGAAAAATCGACCTAATCAATACCAAGCTTTCTATCGATAGACTAAAATCGATTTTTTTAAATCCGATCAATTCTAATTCCTCTGTGACATCCAACTAAGAAGCAGCCAAAGTTTCATTAAAATCTGTTCAATCAAAAAAAAGTTATGATGGTGGATAGCCTAAACCTTCGTAACTTCTTTTTGAGTGAACAGATTCCAATCAAACTTTTACTATTTCTTAGTTGGATGCCACAGAGGAATTAGAATTGATCAGATTTTTCGAAAATCAATTTTAGACTACCGTAATCTTACCGTATTGCCGCGTAGCTCTATGAACTTTTATCTAAATATTTTATCCAAATCTTCTACCGTACTCCCCGAATACTACAGTACAATCCAGGGATTACGGTGTGCCAGATGGAGAGCGTTTAAGCGCGTACAAAGAATACAAAGGAATTTGGTTTTGAGGAATTCTGGAATTTTTGAAATCAATTTTTGAGCTGAATTTTTGCGCCTGGGGGTTTTCTGGGTCAGCGGATCGATTGCTAGGGTTTATTTTATTCAATTAACCATGAAATTTCGAGGTTTCTTTGAATAGCTTTGCTTTAAAAAAACTGATTTTTTTTTTCAAAAACTTTTCTTCAAAATTCTTGACTCGTATAATCTTCTAAAAGGTTCTAAAAACTCATCACGAATTCCCATTTGTTCTATAATCTCTTGAAAAGGCAATGGGAAGTCAATGGGAATAAGAAAAAAGCAGAAAAAAGGTCATTTCTCAGATTGAATCCAAAAAAAAGTATTTAGCTTTTTTGGCAGAAAATTTCAGAAAATTTTTGGTTTGATGATTTTATTCTTTTACTTTTCCTAGTGATGGTATTATTTTGTTTTTAGAGACTGGAATGGCAGTGGAATGGCCGTGCGCTGCTTGTGCTACTTTACTCGGGATCGCGCATTTATCAATGGGTTTAGGGTTCGTGTTTTTTTGGATTTCTAAACGGATTTCTAAACTATTACCCTATTTTCTCTAATAGTCGTGCAGCGTTGCCTAAATTCCTCCAAATCTCGAAATGCGCTTGTTAAAAGCTATTGATGTGGGGTCGGAAAAAAAAAGGGCAAGTTTAAGAAAAAATGAAAAATTTGAGCATAGTGACGCCGGGAAAATCGATGGACAGACGAGTTACCGAGAGCCCCCTCGGCTCCCTATCTGTAAACCCCCGATGCCAGAAAGTGCGCGATTATGTGCATGCACAGAGAACAGCCGGCCACTTTTTTTATTTAGAGCCCCTCGGCTCCCTATCTGTAAACCCCCGATGCCAGAAAGTGCGCGATTATGTGCGTGCACAGAGAACACCCAGCCAGTTTTTATTGAGAGCCAGCTCCCTATGAGTAAACCCCTTATGCCAGAAAGTGCGCGATTGTGCGAGTGCACAGAGAACACCCAGCCAGTTTTTATTGAGAGCCAACTCCCTATGACTAAACCCCTTATGCCAGAAAGTGCGCGATTGTGCGCACAGAGAACACCGCAAGATCACCTCGTGATCTCTAATAGTAGTGCAGCGTTGCCTAAATTCCTCGAAATCTCGAGAACCGCTTATCAGAACCTATCGATGTGGGGTCGGAAAATGTAGCTGACAATGAGATCTAATCGGGGATTAGACTCTTGAGCTTCTGCAAAAGCTTGAAAACCGTAAAATCGTCACCAACTCGGCTCGCTGGGGTGCACTATTGTTTCAAAAAAAAAGCTAGTATTTGTAATTTCCCCAAAAAAAACAAAACCCTACTCCAAATCAAAAATTGCAGTCTACTAGCGTTCGACGTGGTCACAAACGAGACATCAGAGACAGCTTTTGCCGCCACCGCCGCACTCGCCTACATCATTTGTTCAGTGCTCTCATTTATTGCGGCCAGGTTTGTTATCGTGAAGGCTGTAGCCAGCTACAGTATGCCATAGTATCTCCTACCGTTTCCAGACGTCTCGATCGTTGCGCTCAATTGTTACTCTTCGCTTTCGCCGCTTTCTCAGCGCTCACCTCATTGTCAATCTTTCTCGAAGCAGCCGTCGTCTTGAACAGGTTTTCGAATCGATTTGGAAACAAAGATTTGCATTTAAAGCTGCTTAAGGGATTACTATAGCTGCTGTAGCCGTTACAGGATACTGTAGCGATCCTATAGACATTACAGGATACTGTAGCGATCCTATAGACATTACAGGATACTGTAGCGATCCTATAGACATTACAGGATACTGTAGCAACCCTGTAACCGTTACAGGATACTGTAGTGATCCTTTATCAGCTGTTAAACCCTGAAGTCCTCTAGGAGAGTACTGTAGGGTTGTTAGACTGCTGCTTTCCACTCAAGATTCCCTCTAGATTATGCGGTCAACGAGCGTGCACAGAGGGAAGAGATCTCGTGCACTCGACACTCATTTGCATCGCTCTCACCGAGTGTCAGTTTTCGCGCTTTCTCCTTTCTAGTAAACTAAGGTATTGAAAAATTGGGAATAAAAAAACCGGCTTTCAGTTGTGATCAGCTCAATCTCGATGATCGTCTGCTATCGATCTCTGCGCAACGCGTTCGGCGTAAACACGGTTGCCTCTCCGTACAGGTTCAAGCAACACTTGTCCCTAGTGTCACTCTTAAAACCCGACTTTTCAGCACTCTAATCGTCGGCGATTACACGACACTCGAACGCCAGCCAAGACCCATGAGGGAACACAAGGGCAAAAAGTCTGCTGTAACTGTAAAACCCACCCACAATCACGAACCTCCTTTTCCCTTTGTTGCTGGTCTTCTTTAATCGGGTCTCTTTCTTTTGGGCTTATCCTTTTTTTCAAGATAAAA